TCCTTACTTCTCAGGAAAGTCTTATGTTTCTATTTAATTTAAAATGCCCTTACTTAATGTCAAATTATTTATCTATTGCAGATGAGAACTATTTTTACTTTTGTCTCTTTTTGCTCTAACATTACATAAACAGTGCACATCACATGCAGTACATAATTACCAAGTAGATGAGCTCTTTTTAATGCAGATAAACGAAGGTAAATAACTAGATAACATTTAAAGCAATTTAGAGCTATGTAGAAAGAAACTGTTGCCAAATATTAATGTTCACACAATAAGAATTTATCCTGGCAAACTTAAACAGGAATTCCACCAATTTTTCAAAAGTTATCTTGGTGTAATTTAATGATTAAGATGTAAATAAAGTATTTCAGAGTGATCTGATGAAAACATTTACATTCTAAAGAAAATTGCAGCAGAGCCAGGATTGTTCACAGAGGTGGTGATAGGAACCAGACATCCAAAGAGTTTAAGGCCTTCAAGCCAAAAGCTTAAAGTTAGGTTTAGTCAGATTTTCCCCTATTTTACCATTATCAGAATTACATATAAAAACTCAGAAGTCACATGTAGGGTCACTGATCATTCTGGATAGTAAATAAAATGGCTATATTTGTATTTTTGAGTTTCTCTACAATTAACCATTTCACATCAAGCCACTCTGGATGACTCTGTTTACATCTTCATGAATGAAGCCACAGTTGCTAGGTGTTGTAGAGGGCTTGCCTTGTGTTACTGTAAATATGAGGCCATGTTTTAAAGGAATGGGTGTGTATAGCGTATCACCAAAAAAAAAGCGTATGTCAAAGAAAGATGTCAGATGAAAAATGTGTAACTTAATAAATATAGTTACATTTGTATAAACCCCAACATCCTTGCTGTCCTTGCGAGTCTGCATTGGTATCGGTACTGTATTAGTGCAAATAATGTATTTTCACTCTAAGTATATATGTACAATTACAGACTGTAGCCCAGAAGGGCTGTACCCCCAACCCACAATTTCTAAGCCATTCATTTGGCCAGTTTCAACTTCAAGACTACTGCTGACCAGTAGTGGACCATATTAGTTAATAAGTTAAAAGTTATCCTTTATCAATCCCACAACGGGGAAATTCACCTCTGCATTTAACCCATCTGTGCAGTGAAATACCCACATACACACTAGTGAAAACACACACTAGGGGGCAGTGAGCACACTTGCCCAGAGCAGTGGGCAGCCCTATCCACAGTGCCCGGGGAGCAGTTGGGGGTTAGGTGCCTTGCTCCAGGGCACTTTGGTCGCGTACTGTCAGCTAAGGAGATCGAAACCTGCCACCTTCTGGTCACAGGGCTGGTTCCCTAAACTGCAGCCCACGACTGCCCCCTATCACGACTTGGCATGGTAGTGTGTGTGGTGCTGGTACAACTGTATCAGATCAGCAGTTTTGCTAGAGGTTTTATGTATGTCAGTATCACTGCTGGGTCTCAAGTAGTCCACCAACCAAAAATGCCCAACCAAGAGCCATGCTGTGGTCAGAAATTGAGCACTGGTGAAGGGCTAGAGGATTTCTAACATACTATGTACAAGGTAGCTGTTTCAATGGCCAATGATGAATTTCCATCAATGAAGTTGTTGTACCGTAGGTTCAGACCTATACACCAATCAGGCATAACATTATGACCACCTCCTTGTTTCTACACTCATTGTCCATTTTATCAGCTCCACTTACTATATAGGTGCACTTTGTAGTTCTACAGTTACAGACTGTAGTCCATCTGTTTCTCTGCATACTTTGTTAGCCCCCTTTTACCCTGTTCTTCAGCAGTCGGGACCCCCATGGACCCTCACAGAGCAGGTACTATTTGGGTGGTGGATCATTCTCAGCACAGTAACACTGACGTGGTGGTGCTGTGTTAGTATGTGTTGCACTGGTGCAAGTGGATCAGACACAGTGGTGCTGTTTTTAAACACTGTGTCCACTCACTGTCCACTTTATTAGACACTCCTACCTTGTCAGTTCACCTTAAATGTAAAGTCAGAGACGATAGCTCATCTGCTGCTGCACAGTTTGTGTTGGTCATCCTCTAGTCCTTCATCAGCGGCAACAGGACGCTGCCCACAGGACGCTGTTGGCTGGATATTTTTGGTTGGTGGACTATTCTCAGACCAGCAGTGACACTGAGGTGTTTTAAAAACTCCAGCAGCTCTGCTGTGTCTGATCCACTCAGACCAGCACAACACACACTAACACACCACCACCACCACGTCAGTGTTATAGCAGTGCTGAGAATGATCCACCACCCAAATAGTACCTGCTCTGTGAGGGTCCATGGGGGTCCTGACCACTGAAGAACAGGGTAAAAGGGGGCTAACAAAGTATCAGAGAAACAGATGGACTACAGTCTGTAACTGTAGAACTACAAAGTGCACCTATATAGTAAGTGGAGCTGATAAAATGGACAATGAGCGTAGAAACAAGGAGGTGGTCATAATGTTATGCCTGATCAGTGTATATAAACTTACTCAACCTCTACAGCAGTCGTCACCAACCCTCCTCTTGAATATCTACTCTCCTGCTGGTTTCACCTCCAACCCAAATATCAACCTTCCAGAAGGTAATACTTAGATGTATCAGACAGGTTGATCAGGGTTTGGAGCCACAATCCGCAAAATGGAAGATCTCCACTGTTGTCTACAGCATTTCAGCTCCACAATGTGTCAAAATCCAGCAGATTATTGCTTGAAAGATCTGACATCTGCATAGTCAGATACATACAGAATGACTAATCAGTGATCGCAAAGTTTAATCTGCCGGCAGTTGATCAGATTATTGCTTCAGTCATATGAGACAGATGCCTGAAGACATCATGGCGCCTGGTGATGAGGGCTGTGTACACCTGCTGTCTTCTGTCCGTGTCCTTTTCAGAATGGCTGTATCGGGGTGGAGATTCTGGCTGGTCAGAGCCGGTCCAGCTGGATCTCAGGAATCAGGAAACCTGCAACCAGCTGACTGCCGTCCTCCCTCTCGCTCAGTCTCAGCATTATTAGCATTATTAGCATTGCAATCTGTCCAAAGTTTCCGTGTAACTCTGTGTGAATGAGCATCCAGCCCTTAGAATTGCGCACACTGTGTACCCGGTGCTAAACCGGTCCCAGGTTTAACACCCAAAGGACCTGTATACACTTACAGTCGAAAACTACTGCTCACATACACATCATAAGCTGATTTTTAGCACCTGCTTTTTATATACCTGACTTGATCTATCCTTTTTGTGCATTTAAAGAAGGAAAATAATGAAAAGGTGGAAGGATATTGTGAAAAGACTGTGCAAGACGGCTTAGCACTCATCAAGAAATGGAGCGATTTTTCAAAAATTCTACAAAATTCAATGGCTGAGATGGAAACTCAGTCATTCAGAGTGGTTTGATGTGAAATGGAGCACTGCAGAGAAATTCACTGACTCAGATTTTCTTTACAGTGGGGGTGATAGGAACCGGGGGTGTGATATCTACAAATATAGATGTTTTATTTACTATTGAAAACGACCAGTGAACTTACACCAGTCTTCTGAGTTTTTCTATGTAACATTGCTACTGATAAAATAGTGGTAAATCTGAAAAATATGTTTTGTTTGGGGACTATTTTGCCTCATTATGACCTTCATGTACCTTTTCACCATAAATGGGGTTTAAAAATAAGCCACTATGAACAATTCTATGAACATTTCTCACCACCACTATGAACAGTTCTGACTTTTCGATGTAATAATGAAGAAATTCTGAAAAGATGGTGGAATTCGTCTTTAGGAGAAGAGGAAGAGGGAATTCAGCTGATGGAAATGTGTGGGGAATCAAAATCCACCCACTGTGGATGATCTGTGGGCAGCAATGCAGAATGCATTGGGAAGCTGTGTCTGCAGATCATGAACATACAACAAGTATAAGGTGGTCATCAAGGCGGGAGAAGGACCTTCAAAGTCCTGACTGCGTGCTTATTGCAATACACCGATCAGTGGATCAGACACAGCAGTGCTGCTGGAGTTTTTAAACACTGTGTCCACTCACTGTCCACTCTACTAGACACCCCTACCTTGTAAGTCTGCCTTGTGGATATAAAGTCAGAAATCATCTGCTGCTGCACAGTTTGTGTTGGTCATCCTCCAGTCCTTCATCAGTGGTCACAGGACACTGTTGGCTGGATATTTTTGGTTGGTGGACTATTCTCAGTCCAGCAGTGACACTGAGGTGTTTAAAAACTCCAGCAGCACTGCTGTGTCTGATCAACTCAGACCAGCACAACACACACTAACACACCACCACCACGTCAGTGTTACTGCAGTGCTGAGAATGATCCACCACCCAAATAGTACCTGCTCTGTGAGGGTCAATGGGGGTCCTGACCACTGAAGAACAGGGTAAAAGGGGGCTAACAAAGTATGCAGAGAAACAGATGGACTACAGTCTGTAACTGTAGAACTACAAAGTGCACCTATATAGTAAGTGGAGCTGATAAAATGGACAATGAGTGTAGAAACAAGGAGGTGGTCATAATGTTATGCCTGATCAGTGTATATACATACAATACTGTGCAAAAAAGGTCTCAAACTATTTATCTTGGCAAGAAAACACCATATATCATTAAAATAAATACAAATTTATAATAATTTTCAAAAGTAACTGATATCTTGTAAGCTGGCTAGAGGAACACAGTTTGGTTCTTGCAGCTATTCCTGTATTAAATCTGCTATGATGTGCATTGAATCGCACTTTTTCTCCTGTGTTCACTTCTCCCTTCCTGAGCGACCAAATCAATGCAGAATAAAGCGGCATTGTGTGTTTGAGGTGCTCTATATCCTTTCTAGTTTTTTTTGTTTCCCTCCCTGCCTGCACAGATCTGGTCGGTCAGGTTTAGTGGGATTTCAGCAGGACCGGTTTATCCAGGGAGAAACTGGTGTTTGTGAGTTCAGGTTGGGAACTGCACCGACCTGTTCTCCTCCGCTGGTGGAGGGTGGGAGGAGGGAGGTAGAGGGAGGAGAAGGAGAAAAGAGGAGAGGAGAAGAGGGTGAAAGAAAGAAGTCCTCCTCATTTCGCCACACTGTTTGGGTTTTTTCGCCCACTTCCCTCTAACGTGGGCATCAAACGTGACCCGTTGAGGGGGTCCGGAGGGTAGAGCGGGATTGGCAGGGATTGGAGCTGATTGACAGCTGCTGGCTCTGGGCTTTGCATTCCACAGGCTGGCACAGGGTGAGTTGGGCATTCACGTCATTTGAGAACAGGGTTCTGCCTGAAGGCTGCTGTGTAGAAAATCACCGCCTAAACTGAAGGCGTATTATTCAATTTAGCCTTATTTTATAAGTACTATAAATGATTCAGGAGCTACTATAAGAGTTTGTGGACTACAAATTAGCTGAATCCTTTCATTTATACAATTCAGACAATTGTGTTTTAGTGGAGAATACAGAACATGTAGGTCTCAAAAATGGATGTGGATCGTTAATTAGTCTGTAAATGATTACTAATAAGTCTGTGACAAATTAAGTGCCATTCAAGTGTCAGTTGAAGAGTCATTCAGTGCTACAGAGGAAATAAAGACAATGCAGGTTGATCTCCAATGCAGTTGATGTCTATTCTGTTCACATTAGCATGACTTTTATATTATCCTTCTTGTTAATTGGCACATTACACGTGGATGTCCATTCGCGTCTGCACGTGTGTGTTGCTGAGGGGGCGTGTGCATGTGCATATGTGTTTATGCATTCACATGTAGGCTTGTGAGTGTGTTAATATGCGGGCGTGTGTGTGTGTGAGCGAGTGTGTATGTGTGTGATAGGTTAATTTCTGAGCTCTGAGGCAGGTTCTCTCTTGCTCTTGCCCTGTAACATGGGACACTTAGCTGACATATCCCAACATGCAGCGGAGTGGGGGGGGCACAGGGGGGGTTAGCACACCACTCCGAAAGCCAAAAAAAGATGAAAGAGTCATAACCTTTTCTATGCTTGTATGAGACGCTATAGGTGAATGGGTTAATTTTCCCAAAAAATTATATTTAGACATGTAAATGAGATGTTATCTACTTAAAGTATTGCATATTACTAAAAATTATGTATGTATATACATCATTTTTAGCAATATGCAATGGTTCCATTGACTTACATTATATATATATATATATATATATATATATATATATATATATATATATATATATATATATATATATATATATATATATATGTAGATAGGTATCGGTATAATTTCTGTCAGTATCTCCATTTCTGTCAGTATCTCCATTTTCATTTTTTATCATTATTTGAAAATATATATGAATTTTATGATGAATGGATCAGAAGAAATGGGCCAAAATAACTTGGAAAAAAGTCTGGTTCCATTGACTTACATTAAAAGTAAAGTAGGTTTTTTCCTTCTCCTGTAAAGTTACCATTTTGGAGATACAAGGTTTTCTTCCGACAACAGCGATATATATATATATATTAACCAGTGAGATCTCAGAAAGCATGCACCATTTGTGGGAATGGATGCTCCATTTAGATTCTACAAGAAATAAGCTTTACAATGATATATGACACAGTATGGTTGTGTTGAGTGTGGGCGGAGCTAAAGTCACTTTCAACTGAAGCTCGTAACACGGAAAACACATGCTTAGCTAGTAATTTCCACTAGGAAAGTTGGGATGGAGAGCTCAACGTCTGACATAAGACTATTCCCACCCTGGCAAAAGTTAAAAAGGCCGCTTTAGATCAACATACAGACAACGTACAACATACAGTAGTTAGATAATATTGCCAATAAAGTTCACTGCTTTGAGAGGGTAAATACATCATGAAAGTTAAAGTTGTCACTCATATCTCTAATATTAGCTGGCTAGCTTGTTGCTAGAAATATTTATTTTCATTATTATTTCCTAATTAGTAGCTTGAGCAAGCGGAGGTCGAAAATTACGCAATTCCGAGCTCTGACTTCCTCCTTTTGTTAAATTTAAACTTTTGGATGATATAATTAGCTACTGGATGCGAACTGACTAAATAGGCTGAAATACATATATTTCTGTTGCGTGTTATGATTGCAATCTAAGAGGAGACTTATAGATAGTTATAGATACAATTAATCCAACAACCTGAAAACTGGTTGACATCATTTCCGCCTGTGGTGTCTTGCCCTAAGAGAATCTAGCAGGATATGTACACAAAAGTACACACCCTAAAACTGACCAGAGGAAATAAGTTCTGTTGCTCTACATGTACAAACGATTCTTCTCATCCTTCCCTGAGGTTATGAAAAGAGTGAAGGGTGAGCATGTAAACCTGATTTAAGCACAGATATGTAAAAAAAAATGCACTTGCATTGAATGTAAAGTGCATAGAAAATTTTCATTGAAAAAAATGAATAAAAGTAATTGAAAATGACAATTTCAAAAATGCTCAAAAATGCAAATTCTGTGTGGAAGATTCTACTGAATTCGAGTGTTGCAATCATTTCATTTTCCATTGCTTCCAAATAATGAGGTAGATGTGGGGGGCAGTGTGGACCACACCCTGTGGAGCGCCTACAGCATGTTGGTGCAAAACTGCCAAACCTGTTTTCTCCGTTTATACAAATGTTCATGGAAAATGTTCACATTGACTCTTGTACGAAGAACCTAATTTAGTATTGATATTGCATAGAGGATTAAAGGGCCCTTAAAGGGTTTGTGAAAAAACTAACGTGGCATGCTTTCTTAAAGTTTTCTGTACTGCATAAAAAAGTGTTTCAGAATGTATGATTCATACAAAATCTTTCAGAACGTACCATTAACTCGCCAGTCCATACAGTCCATACAGTGTGGATTCTACAAGAAATAAGCTTTACAGTGACATATGACACAGTACAGTTGTGTTGAGTGTGGGCGGAGCTAAAGCCGCTTTCAATTGAAGCTCGTAACGTGGAAAGTCCATACAGTCCATGTATGGAAATTTTGTGACATGGCAACCATTACAACATTTACATATCACCACCCACTCAGCTTACAGCCGAGCTCAGTCATTCATTATAGAGCCACAAAGACTGTTGCTCTTTTAATGAGGCTGAATGCAGGGCACTTGCGAAGGAGCCAGCCAATCAGAACAGAAAACATTTACATATATCAATCTTAAAGCCATAGTGACAAAGCCTTGTTTCATTCTGAGGATAAAGAGAGATTGGAAAACATAATTATGACCACTCTAAAACTACAGAAACAATATAAACTAGAAAACTGTATAATATGTACATTTTAAGAAATTGGGTTGATTGATTCCATATCTAGTCCGTATTGTACATTACAGGCGACTCAAGTAAAGAGATTTCTACGTTTCCTAAATGGAAAATTTCCTTTATTCTATCTGTGACTTTTAGAGCTTGCATGCATTTGGTGTCATCAGTGACAAAACAGGGTCAAAAAAACAAGAAACAAGAAAAAACACCTCTATGATAAAGCTGCCTTCTGTTAGCACCCCTATGGGATTTCTAGTTGTATGTTAACATCAAGCAAACCATGATGAGCATGAACATTTCAGCTTGTCTAACACTTTTTAAGTGCTTTACTTGAAGCTTGTAGCAGACATATCACTTAGTATGTAGCAGGTTTACAATGACTTATTCAGTAATGAGACCTGCCATAGGGCTGCTGCTTTATGTTGCTCATATTTGCAGTCAGTGTGTCCAAAAGGCGTTGAGCGATGTTTCCTCTCTTAAAATTGGTCCCAACCATTTTAGGATTTTTCATCTACCACTTTTATATGAATTTTTAAAAAGCGCATAAAAAACCTGGATGGAAAAGAGAGAAATAAAAAAAAAACTAAATATCTCAAAAGGAGTTTTAACACTTGGATGAGGTGCAAACATTCATCGATAAAAGATAAATTCAAAAAAAGATTTTTTGAATAAGTGATAATGTAGAAGGAATGAAAGTCAGATGTTTGACACTAAGTCCTATCAGAACCTCAAGGTGTTCGCAGGAGTTCGGTGGGTAATGGTGAAGTGGAACAGTAACTCCAGCGCTCATTAGTGGAACACTGTCCACTCTACTCTGCATCTCTGACTGGATGCGACTGCAAATATGAACAGTTGACAGAGGGGTGTTTAAACTGCTCTACTGAGAGCTGGCAATGGTTTGAATCCCTCCATTGGATACACCATGCACTTCTGTCTCCCGCTGTATGGCACATGTACATCATGTCATCTTCAAGAATTTGTGCAGTAGTTGATGGAAACACTAATAAATTTGTGTTTTCATTTACTGACTTTTCAAACGTTTGTTTAAAATTTGCAAAATGTTTGAACAGAAACCAAACTATTGTAAATCAAAACGTGACTGGTTGATTCCTCTGTCATTTCCTAATTAGGCTGGTTGTTAATCTAATGTACACTTTTAGAAATAAAGGTTCTGTGCAGGTACATTTTTCGTTCATCAAGGTACAAACAACGTAAATGTTCCCTCAAAGGTACAATAGTGGTTTTAAGGTCCAATACCTTAAATACATTTTTCCAGGTGAAAAGTTTGTATTTGTACCTTTTCATAACCGAAAGTTTTAAAGCAGAGCAGTAAAATAAAAGCCTGGAGACGAGACGGGGTGTGTGGAGTCAGTACAGCTTAGAACATATCAATTCAGTGGATTATGGTTCAGTTATGTTCCCTAAAGGGACTGAGATGTACCCTTGAGAGTTCCACCCCAGTGACAGTTAAAATTAAAATAAGTAAAATTACTATGTAAGGAAAGAAATATGTTTAAAAAATAATGCTGAAATAATAATTTAAAAGTCAGAGATGTAGGATCAGATTTTGCGGGAGTTTTTTGGACCACATCACACATCTTTATGCATTAATGTCACCTGCACAGGCTCAAAAAGAAGGCTCTGCTTGATGTTTAGATGTCAAATGCAAAATCAACATTATACTGATGAAGATATGATGACATTAGTAGATGTTTCACCCAAATCCACGGAAGGCATGTTCTTTACCGAGTTTTGACTGAGTTCTCTTTGAATACTCTTTCAACACGTTCGCAATCATCAGATTCATCCCCTCAGGGAAGGGGTCCGAAACACAACCGCTGCTGTCGGAACAAAACCTCGTTTCTCCAAAATGGTAACTTTACAGGAGAAGGAAAAAACCTACTTTACTTTTAATGTAAGTCAATGGAACCAGGTGTTTTTCTGAGTAATTTTGGGCCGCTTCTTTTGATCTATTCATCATGAACTTCACCCAT